CCAGCAGATCGAGGGAAGTGATTATTCCCCTCTATTCAGCACTGGTGAGGCCACATCTGGAGTATTGTGTCCAGTTTTGGGCCCCCACTACAGAAAGGATGTGGAGAAATTGGAGAGTGTCAAGCGGAGGGCAACGAAAATGATTAGGGGGCTGGGGCACATGACTTACAAGGAGAGGCTGAGGGAACTGGGCTTGTTTAGTCTGCAGAAGAGAAGAGAGAGGGGGGATTTGATAACAGCCTTCAATTACCTGAAGGGGGGTTCCAAAGAGGATGGATCTAGACTGTTCTCAGTGGTAGCAGATGACAGAACAAGGAGTAATGGTCTCAAGTTGCAGTGGGGGAGGTCTAGGTTGGATATTAGGAAACACAATTTCACTAGGAGGGTGGTGAAGCAGTGAAATGGGTTACCTAGGGAGGTGGTGGAATCTCCACCCTTAGAGGTTTTTAAGGCCCAGCTTGACAAAGCCCTGGCTGGGATGATTTAGTTGGGAATTGGTCCTGCTTTGAGCAGGGGGTTGGACTAGATGACCTCCTGAGATCTCTTCCAACTCTAATCTTCTATGATTCTATGACTGCTTCTTGGAGCAGCTAGTCCTGCAATCCATAAGAAAAGAGGCAATTCTTGATTTAGTCCGAAGTGGAACACAGCATCTGGTCCAAGAAGTGAAGCTAGCTGGACCTCTTGGTAATAGTGACCATTATATAATTAAATTTAACATCCCTGTGGCGAGGAAAACACCACAGCAGCCCAACACTGTAGCATTTAAATTCAGAAAGGGGGATTACACAAAAATGAGGAAGTTAGTGAAACAGATAAGATAGTGAAACAGTGCCAAAAGTGAAATCCCTGCAAGCTGCATGGAAACTTTTTAAAGACATAATAATTGAGGCTCAACTTAAATATATATCCCAAAATAAAAAAAAAAAACATAGCAAGAGAACCAAAAAAGTGCCACTGTGGCTAAACAACAAAGTAAAAGAAGCGGTCAGAGGCAAAAAGTGGAAGTTAAATTCTAGTGAGGAAAATAGAAAGGAGCATAAACTCTGGCAAATGAAGTGTAAAAATGTTATTAGGAAAGCCAAAAAAGAATGCGAAGAACAGCTAGCCAAAGACTCAAAAAGTAATAGCAAAAAATGTTTTAAGTACATCAGAAGCAGGAAGCCTGCTAAACAACTAGTGGGGCTACTGGATGATCAAGATGCTAAAGGAGCACTCAAGGACGATAAGGCCATTGTGGAGAAACTAAATGTATTCTTTGCATCGGCTGAGAATGTGAGGGAAATTCCCAAACCAGAGCCATTCTTTTTAGGTGACAAATCTGAGGAACTGTCCCAGATTGAGGTGTCATTAGAGGAGGTTTTGGAACAAATTGATAAACTAAACAGGAATAAGTCACCAGGACCAGATGGTATTTACCAAAGAGTTCTGAAGGAACTCAAATATGAAATTGCAGAACTACTAACTGTAGACTGTAACCTATCATTTAGATCAGCTTCTGTACCAAATGACAGGAGGAATACTACTCAAGATAGTTAAGTCCCAGGCAGACTGCAAAGAGCTACAAAAGGATCTCTCAAAACCGGGTGACTGGGAAATAAAATGGCAAATGACATTTTATGTTGATAAATGCAAAGTAATGCACATCGGAAAACATAATCCCAACTATACATATAAAATGATGGGGTCTAAATTAACTGTTATCATTCAAGAAAGAGATCTTGGAGTCATTGTGGCTAGTTCTCTGAAAACATATACTCAATGTGCAGCGGCAGTCAAAAAAGCGAGCAGAATGTTGGGACTCATTAGGAAAGGGGTAGATAATAAGACAGAAAATACATCTCTACCCTGATATAACGCTGTCCTCAGGAGCCAAAAAATCTGACCACGTTATAGGTGAAACCGTGTTCTATCGAACTTACTTTGATCCGCCGGAGTGCCCGGCCCGCCCCCCCGGAGCACTGCTTTACCGCGTTATATCCGAATTCGTGTTATATTGGGTCGCATTATATTGGGGTAGAGATGTATCATATTGCCTCTATATAAATCCATGGTATACCCACATCTTGAATACTGCGTGCAAATGTGGTTGCCGCATCTCAAACAAGATATATTGGAATTGGAAAAGGTTCAGAAAAGGGCAACAAAAATGATTAGGGGTATGGAACGGCTTTCGTATGAGGGGAGATTAATAAGACTGGGACTTTTCAGCTTGGGGGAATACGACTGAGGTCTATAAAATCATGACTGGTGTGGAGAAAATAAATAAGGAAGTGTTATTTACTCCTTCTCATAACACAAGAACTAGGGGTCACCACATGAAATTAATAGTCAGCAGGTTTAAAACAAACAAAAGGAAGTATTTCTTCACACAACACAGTCAACCTGTGGAACTCTTTGCCAGAGGATGTTGTGAAGGCCAAGACTATAACAGGGTTCAAAAAAGAACTAGATAAATTCATGGAGGATAGGTCCATCAATGGCTATTGGCCAGGATGGTGTTTGCCAGAAGCTGGGAATGAGCGACAGGGAATGGATCACTTGATTACCTCTTCTATTCATTCCCTCTGGGGCAGCTGGCATTGGCCACTGTCAGAAGGTAGGATACTGGGCTAGATGGACCTTTGGTCTGACCCAGAATGGCCGTTCTAATGTTCTAACATCCCTTGGTGCAGATTAAGCCCATTACTACTTCTCCTGCCTTCAATGGCCATGGAGAACCATTGATCACAGGCATTTTTAAAATAGCTCTTAACATACTTGAAGACTGGTAACAGGTTTCCTCTCAGTCTTCTTTTCCCAAGACTCAGCATGCTCAGTTTTTTAACCTTTCCTCACAGGTCCGGTTTTCTAAACCTTTTATCATCTGTTGCTCACCTCTGGACTCTCTCCAGTTTGTCCACATCTTTCCTATCGTGTGTCAGCCTGAATTGCATATAGTACTCCAGCTGAGGCCTCACCAGTGCTGAGTAGAGCAGGACAATTACCTCCCATGTCTTACATATGACATTCCTCTTCATACACCTCAGAATGATATTAGACTTTTTCACAGCTGCACCACATTGTTGGCTCATATTCAGTTTGTGATCCACTATAGCCCCCCAGGTCCTTTGCAGCAGTACTACCACCTAGCTAGTCATTCCCCATTTTGTAGGTTTGTATTTGATTTTTTCTTCCTTAATGAACTACTTGGCACTGCTAATTTCAGACCAATTCTCCAAATTGTTTTGAATTCTAATCCTGTCCTGCAACGTGCTTGCAACCCCTTCCAGCTTGGTGTCAGCTGGAAATTTTATAAGCATGCTCTCCTCTCTATTATCCAAGTCAAATACTGAATAGTATCACACCCAGCACTGACCCTGCAGGATCCCACTAACTATGCCCTCCCAGTTTAACAGCAAACCATTGATAACTACTCTTTGAGGTACTGTCTTTCAGTCAGTTGTGCACTCAACTTACAGTAAGTTCAGCTAGATGACATTTCCCGTTTTTGTATGAGACTGTCCTGTGGGACAGTGTCAAAAGACTGACTAAAATCAAGACACATCACATCTACAGCTTCCCCTTTATCCTCTAGACTAGAGGTGGGCAAACTACGGCCAGCGGGCCACATCCGGCTTGCGGGACTATCCTACCTGGCCCTTGAGCTCCCAGCTGGGAAGGCTAGCCCCCGGTCTGTCCCCTCTCCCCCACAGCCTCAGCTCGCCGTGCCGCCAGCGCTCTGGGTGGCGGGGCTGTGAGCTCCTGCCAGGCTGCACAGCTGTGTGAGCCACCGGGTGTAGTGTATTAAATTGCTCCCCGTAGGAATGTGCTACTTACGGAGCACCGGGACTTGCAGCAGGAAGTAGTACACTGTAAGTAGCACATTCCTACAGGGAGCAATTTAATACACTACACCCCAGTAGGGAACGCTATGCCTCTACAGACAGCCTGGCCCCCACCCCCTATCCACCCCCTCCCACTTCCCACTCCCTAACCGCCACCCTGGGACCCCACCTCCTATCCAACCCCCCATGCTCCCTGTCCCCCGACCCCTATTCACACCCCCGCCCTCTGACAGGCCCCCCCGGGACTCCCACACCGATCCAACTGCCCCTGTTCCCTGTCCCCGACTGCTCCCTGGGACTCCCTGCCCCTTATCCAACCCCCCCCACTCCCCACCCCCTTACCATGCCGCTTAGAGCACCAGAACTGGCAGCCGTAAGTAGTACACCGTAAGTAGCACATTCCTACGGGGAGCAATTTAATATACTGCACCCAGCACTCCATACAGTTTCGGAACCCCGATGTGGCCCTCAGGCCCAAAAGTTTGCCCACCCCTGCTCTAGGCCACCAATCCTGTCAAACCACCATGTTAACCATTAGATGGTGCCCTTCCCACAGAGCAGCTATAGAGCCACACTCGGCCTGGTGCCATCATTCTCTTTATTGTTGGGGGAAACCCTGTGGGTGGAGTGCATGTGCTTGGAGGGAGAGAGAGGGAACCGCTCTGTTAACATCCCCGTTAACCGCGGATCACCCCCTCTGCATGACCACGCCACCTCACACTACAGCAATGGAGAGCTTGGCACCTGGGGCTGGGAGCAGCAGCACGCATGGCCCTGCCTGTGCCCTTTGAACATGCAGGCCCTCCCTAGGCTCCTAGGTGTGGCAGCGGCTGGAGCCCAGCAGGGAAGTGGCAGATCAATGGCAGCTCCTGGTGCTGGCTATGGGATTGGAGAGCATGGCGGTGACAGGCCTTGCCCAAAGCTATTCAGGCTGGTCAGCCAGGGAGATGCCCTGGTAGCGCATCGTAGGGTGTTGGGGGAATCACAGCCCTGGTGGATCTGGAGTGAATCCTGCCAGCTTTCCCTCAACCAAGGCTCTCAGCAGGGCTCAGCAGCTCCACTTCGTCCAAAGATTGGGCCTAGGCCAGGCTCCTGCCCCAGAGAGAGTCACCAGCCAACGGCCCTGGCTTGCAGAGCTGGGCAACAAGCCCCCCCACCCCTCAGTGCCAAGCCCCTCAGAAATCCAGCCCCAGTGCCCATCCCTAGGCTGCCCAGTTGGAAAGCAAGACCCCCTGCTGTCACCAGAACAAGATCCCTGCAGCTGCTCTCACTACTGGCAGGAGCTTGCCAAAGCACAATGCCCATCTCCCACAGAAGTAGGCACCTGCCCAGTGCTGAACTGAGAGAAGCTTCCTTGTCCCTGCTGCCCTGGGGCTCTCTTCAGGTTGATCCCTACTGGCCAGTGTCCTGGCACTGGTTACCTGTTGAGGGGCTTGGGTTAGGACCCCAGTCCCTGGTAGGCGTGGCTGTGTCAGTCTGCAGCAGCTCTGGGGCCAGAACGAGGAGGATGATCAACTAAACGCCGAAGGGGGTACTGTGCAGGTGTCTGTAGGGGGCCCAAGGCAGGCTGCTGCACCCTGGCGTGGGCAGGGAGCGCTGCCGGGCCTGGTCCCAGCCCTACACGGAGATGGAGCCCTCCCGGAAGCTGGTTCTGCCGATCAGGGCGTTGATCAGGGTGGGGTGTCCCTCCCTGCAGGCCTCCTGCGCCGCCTGGACGATGTTGTCCATGCAGGCCTCGTCCTGGCGGCTGAGTAGGAAACCTTTCCCTCCCAAGCCTTCCGCCACCAGGTGGTAATCTGCGCAGGGAGGAGACCGGCTGTTAGCAAAGCTGCTGCTGCGGGGCCTGGGCACGGCAGTGACAGCCCACATAGGCCACTAAGTAGGCAGAGCTGGTTCCAGGAGGGTGGCCGCAATGGGCACACCAGATGTGAGTGGCAGCAGCGCGGAGGGAGGGAAGGCATGCTGGGGTCTGCAACTTCCAGGAATGCAGTGGAGAACACTGGCAGGGAAGGCTGGGAGGGAATCCCCCAGCTCGTGGGGACCAACCACAGAAGGAAGGGGCCGTTCAAAGTTCCCTTCCCCCGGGGAGCCCTGCTTGGGTGGGCAGAGCAGGCATCAGTGCTGGGCTATGAACCCAGAGGTGTGATGGGACTTGCACCAATTTTGGGAACCTCCCGCTTTCCGTCCCTTGATGGGAGTGGCCTGCAGGAAGCAGCACACAATGGCTGCCCGCCTGCGGACAGGCTGCACAGGCAACACGATCCGGAGGCACCCAGGGCCCATGCTGAGCATGCCGCTGCCATCACTGCGCAGCGTCTTGGAGTAATGTCCCCAGGGCAGCCGGCTAATGGGGACCAAGACTCACCCACATAGGCCAGGCCGCAGGCCACGTTGCTGCCCAGCAAGGGGACCTGCTCACGGGAGATCTGACTCCAGCAGGCGTCGTTCCCCACCAGCGCGATGACGGGCGTCTGAAAAAGCAAGGAAAGTGCTGCTCCCCACGCACCAGAAGGGAGGGGCGAGGTCCCAGTGCCCCACCCCCAGTGCCCTGTCCTCTCTGCCCTAGGGCCCTGCTCTGCCCTCTCCCACTACATTGAGTCCAGGCCAGCTCCTCTTGCCTTGGAAAAGGAACTGCAATGAAGGGGAGGCTGTGAAGGGGCCTGGTCACTGGTGCTGCCTGGACTAACTACAGGACCCCAAAACCATTTGCAGTGTCTCCAGGGCTGTGGCCACTCCCACATGTGCAGGGCCCCTTTAGTCCTTACTTTGTGTATGAATTTGGGGCAATGTAGGGTAGCTGGGCCTGGTCCCCAAGGGGTCCCTGCCTGCAGCGACCCCATTGGTGCTGGGTAGCTGGCCTGGCCCCCAGGGGTCGCTGCAAGCAGGGACTCCATGGGCACGGGGTAGCGGGGCCTGGCTCCCAGGGATCATTGCAAGCAGGGACCCCATTGGCGCGGGGTAGCTGAGCCCAGCCCCCCAGGGTCCCCATTGGCACGGGGTCAGGGGGAGGTTACCTTGTGACGGACGAAGGTGTCAAACTCCATGATGCTGTAGCCGAGGGAGCCGTCTCCGTAGAGGATCCAGACCTGAGGGCGGGGAAGGGAAGTGAGGTTCCCCTGGCAGAGCCCTTGGAGGGGTGAACACTTCCCCCCACATTAACTGGTGCAGAAGGTGTGAGTGCTGGCGCCTGCCTCCCAAAGGGCTGGGTGTTAGTGTGGGCAGGCAGGCAGTGTCGGGGGCCCCACCGGCTCAGAGAGAGGCCTCTGGAAGTAAGCAGGCAAAGTGAGGAAAGCAGGAGGGAAGCTGGGAGTCTGGGGCCAGGAAAGCCAATGGAGGATTCAGGAGACAGACCAGAAAGCCTGGGAATGTGGCATCCCCTATACCAGAGACCCTCACCAGAGCCTTGGGATACCCTGCCCCCATGGCAAGCCTGGTTAAAGCCCCCATCAGGGTGAGGGGAGCACTTGCCCTGCCCATGGCACCTGTTAGAGCCCCCCCTGGCAGGCCATGGGGGCACCCCATTAGAGCCCTCCTCTGGCTGGCTGGTTACTGACCTCAGAATCCGGCCGGCAGAGTTTGGCGCCGAGAGCAAATCCTCCCCCGACACCCAGTGTCCCGAAAGCTCCTGGGGAGAAAGGACAATGCAGAGGGGATGCCTGACCACGCCCAGGCATGCCAGGGAAAGCAGGGGCATGAAACCAACCTCTGTCCCTTCCTGAACCCAGCCCTCACTGAGCAGAGGGGCTGCTGAGTGGCTCAGCGTCTCCTCACCTGCTCCCATGGGCTCCCGTCACCAGCGGGGAAAAACGGGGTCAGCTCAGGGCAGCCTCAGGCTTAGCCCTCCAGTGAGGCTGCCCGAATGCCCCCTCAGGCATTGTCCTTCTTGGCCCAGGGCAGCAGGCTGCCAGGGGCATAGGTCCCACATCCATGGGGCAGGAGACCACCTCTGGGGACTGCCAGCCCCAGCTCAGAGCTGTGGGAGTGGGGCTCTGGGCTCAGTTGCACTGCAGAAGCCTTGCAAGGGATCTGCCACCGTCAGCCCCCATGACAGACGGTGAGCACTGCCAGCTCCAGAGACGTCCCATTACCCGGGTCCAGCCAGCGCAGGGGCCCCCAGGGCCGCACGATGTAGGCAGCGCTCCCCACGAAGTCGCCCCCATCTAACACCAGCAGGCTGTTCTCGGGCAGCAAGTTGTCCACATGGTGTAGGAGCTTGAGTGGGTTCAGGTGCTGCTCCGTGGGCTCTTTTGATTTCTCTCTGTGCACATAGGAGGGCAGTCACTGGCACACCCAGGAGCCTGGCCAGCCCCTCACAGCATGACCAAGACTGCGAGCGCCTGGGAGTGCCCAAGCTCTGGGAGTACACACAGGTTCAGCTCCCCAGATAAACCCATTCACCACACTTCTGCTGCCCAGCACGGGGCTGAGCCTCCAGACCCTCGCTGGATCACACTGCCCCCTGCCGACCAGTACAGGGCTCAGCCCTACAGCCCTTCCCTCGGCGACACTGCTCCCTGGCACAGGCCTGATCCCTACAGCCCTTCCCGGGTGACACTGCCCCCTGCTGCCCAGCACAGGCCTGAGCCCTATGGTCCCTCCCTGGGCGACACTGCCCCCTGCTGCTCAGCACAGGTCTGAGCCTCTAGCCCCTCCCTGTGTGACACTGCCCCCTGCTGCCCGGCACAGGGCTGAGCCTATGGCCCCTCCTGGGGTGGCACTATGGGGACAATGCCACCCTATCAGCTCTACACCTACCGGTTTGCTTTCTCCTTCCTTTGGTCGCCATCTTTCAGACTTGTTGCCCAGTCCTGAGGTGGTGAGTAACTCTTGAGGCCTTGGGAAAGGCTCAGGAGGAAGGAGCCAGCATCTCCTGCAGAGAGAGTGGGCAGCATGAGATTTTGACAGGCCAACCTGAGCAGGAGCTGGTCCCGGGCCCCGAGCAGCACCAGTATCAGAGCAGAGCCAGCCTGCGGAGGCACAGCTGAAGAGCTTGGTTACGTGCCCCAGCCAACGTGATATGGCTGTGAAAAAATGCGGTCTTGGGATGCATCAGGCGAGGTATTTCCAGTAGAGATAAGGAGGTGTGAGTACCGTTATACAAGGCACTGGGGAGACCTCATCTGGAATAGTGTGTGCAGTTTTGGTCTCCCATGTTTAAGAAGGAAGAATTCAAACTGGAACAGGTTCAGAGAAGGGCTACTAGGATGATCCGAGGAATAGAAAACCTGACATATGAAAGGAGACTCAAAGAGCTTGGCTTGTTTAGCCTAACCAAAAGAAGGCTGAGGGGAGATATGATTGCTTTCTATAAATATATCAGAGGAATAAACACCAGGGAGGGAGAGGAATTATTTAAGCTCAGTACCAATGTGGACACAAGAACAAATGGATATAAACTGGCTATCAGGAAGTTTAGACTTGAAATTCGACGAAGGTTTCTAACCATCAGAGGAGTGAAGTTCTGGAACAGCCTTCCAAGGGGAGTAGTGGGGGCAAAAGAAATATCTGGATTCAAGACTAAGCTTGATAAGTTTATGGAGGGGATAGTATAATGGGATAGCCTAATTTTGGTAATTAATTCGTCTTTGACTACTAGCGGTAAATATGCCCAATGGCTTGTGATGGGATGTTAGCTGGGGTGGGATCTGAGTTACTACAGAGAATTCTTTCCTGCGTGTCTGGCTGGTGAGTCTTGCCCACATGCTCAGGGTTTAGCTGATTGCCATATTTGGGGTCGGGAAGGAATTTTCTTCCAGGGCAGATTGGCAGAAGCCCTGGGTTTTTTTCGCCTTCCTCTGCAGCGTGGGGCACAGGTCACTTGCTGGAAGATTCTCTGCACCTTGAAGTCTTTAAACCATGATTTGAGGACTTCAATGGGCTCAGACACAGATTTGATACAGGAGCGGGTGGGTGAGATTCTGTGGCCTGCATTGTGCAGGAGGTCAGACTAGATCAGGGGTAGGCAACCTATGGCACGCGTGCCAAAGGCGGCACGCGACCTGATTTTTGGTGGCACTCACACTGCCCGGGTCCTGACCACTGGTCCGGGGGGCTCTGCATTTTAATTTAATTTTAAATGAAGCTTCTTAAACATTTTAAAAACCTTATTTACTTTACATACAACAATAGTTTAGTTATATATTATAGACTTATAGAAAGAGACCTTCTAAAAACTTTAAATTGTATGACTGGCACACGAAACCTTAAATGAGAGTGAATAAATGAAGACTCGGCACACCACTTCTGAAAGGTTGCCGACCCCTGGACTAGATGATCATAATGGTCCCTTCTGACCTTAAAATCTATGATTCTATTGCCAACAGCATGGTGGGCAGGCTCAGCAGACAGGTGGGTGCTGGGAGGAGCAGGGTGGGGCGTGGCTGAAGCACGCACCTACCTTCCAGCGTGGGTCTGCTGCCCATATGAACCACTTACTCAGCGGGGTCTGTTCCCGTCAGCTTTAGTGGTGATTCTGTCATTCCATCTCCTGTGCCTGCTCTGCTCCCAGCAGAGGGGGCAGCAGTCTAGGCACTCGCTGAGACATGGCGTGGGCAGGAGCAGGGGAAGGCCAGCAGCGGCAGAATGGGAGCTGATTCTGAGGCAGAGCACCGAGCGCCCGCCTGCCCCTCACCTTGGATGGCCACGCGGGGCTTCCAGAAGACGTCCGAATTGCGCAGCATCTGGGCACGGTCCCGGTTGATGGCAATGACTATGCTGCGCCGGCTCAGCACGCAGCCATAGGACAAACGGAAATCACACACTGTACCTGCCGGGGGCAACACGGGGGTGAGGGTTAGGTCAGCTCCCCCACCCCAGAAGCCCCCCCAGCCCCATAATGCCTCGAGCATAACCCCTCCCTCCCACTGCCCATCCCATCACACCCAACATCAGGCTCCTGCACCCCACCCCACCACCCCCCAGCATTACCCCCCCACTGCCACTGCCCAGCCCCACTACACCCAACATCAGGTTCCCCCACCCCATAACCCCCCAGTATTTGCCACCCCAACTGCCACTGCCCAGCCCCACCAGACCCCAACATGAGGCTCCCCCATCCCACCCCCTACGCACAACCCCCCAGCATTACCCCCCCATTGCCCAGCCCCTCCAAACCCCCACATGAGGCCCTCCCCCCACACAACGCCACTGCTCAGCACTACCACACCCAACATCAGGCTCCCCCACCCCACAACCCCTCAAGCATTACCCACCCCCCACTACTGCCGAGCCACAACACATCCATCAAGCTCCCCCACCCCCACAACCCCTCCAGCCCCATAACCCCTTGAGCATTATCTCCCCGCCACTGCCCAACCCCACAACCCCCAGCATTACCCCCAACTGCCACTGCCCAGCCCCACCACACCTCCACAAAAGGCTCCTCCACCCCACAACTCCCCAGCCCCACAACACTTTGAGCATTACCCCATGCCACTGATAACCCTCAGCCCCACAACACCCCATCACTAACCCCCAGCCCTGCCCCACAACCCACTCCACTGACATGCCATCCCAGCTCCCTGTCACTCCCAAGTCCAATGGCCCCAAGGTGCGACACCCTCCAGGCCAGTTCCCATGCTGCATTCCACAGACCTGCCAGAATGACCAGGTCAGCCTCCTTCAGCACCTCTCGGCGGTTTTGGCGGATATGTAGTGGGCTGTCCCTTCCCAGCATGCCCCGGGCCATCCCACCCAGGAAGCAAGGGATGCCGAGGGCCTCCAGGGCTTCCCTGCAGGGCACAGGGAAGGGTTAGCTCTCAGCAGCTGAGTCACCTCATGGCAAAGGGATACTTCATACTACTATGAACATGGGCGCTACCAGCGCAGCCCCCATGTGCGTGTGCACTCAGACAGCTGAGCAAGTGGAAGAGTGCGTGAGGAGGGCGCGCGCGGCAGGGCGCAGCAGCGCGACTGAGGAGGAAATGCACGGCAGTGGAGGGCATGCATGGCAGGGTGCATCAGTGCATGAGGAGGGTGCATGGCAGCCAATGAGCAAGGTATTGTGTGTGTGTGTGTGAGAGCACGAACGTGTGAGAGTGCGGGGAGCACGCGTGGCAGGAGGACACGCCACGTGCTTGTTTCTTGGAGGGGAAGACACATTTTTGGTTAATTAAAGGACAGCCCCTTGAAACCAGAGGAAGCAGGTGCCAAAGATGGCTCTGCCAGTGAGCCTTAGCCTTGCCGTGCAGACCCGGTGCCATCCGGCTCTGCCGATGCCCCTCAATCCCAACCTGCAGCTCCCTACTATTCCAGCTCTGCTGATGTCCCCCGTCCGGTCCGACAGCCTCGGGTCTCTGTCGGTCAGGCCAGGACAGATAGTGGCTCTCACCCTGTGTGCACATGGCCACTGGGGGAAGCCACAGCCACCAGCCTGCAGATGGGCAGAGCTGAAAAAGCTGGGTGAGAGCGCCGAGGGCTGGCCAGCAGCGCCCCCTGCCCCCACAGAACCGGGGGCAGGGCAGAGAGAGGACTCTGAATGGAGCCGACTCTTCACCTGAGCTTCTCCACAGGCGTCGGGGGCAGGGTCACCTGGCTGCCCAGGAGCATAACAGGCTTCTTGGCACGGCTGACCAGCTCCACACACTGCTGCACCTGCACGCAAATGGGAAGCACCATCAGAGCCTGGCAAGGCCAGGGGTCAGTGCAAAGGCTAGGCAGAGCCTGGCAGGGCCAGCAGTCACTGGGGTCAGTGCAGTTGTTGGGCGCACCCTGGCGAGACCAGGAGTTATTGGGGTCAATGTAGCAGCTGGGCGGAGCCTGGCAGGGTTGGGGGCAGTGCAGTGGCTAGATGGAGCCTGGCAGAGCCGGGGGGCACTGCCAGTGACTGGGCGGGGCGGTCAGTGGTTGGGCGGGGCCGAGTGGTCAGCGGGGTCAATGCCAGTGGCTGAGCAGCTGTCACATGGCCCCTGGAGGTGCTCCTGGGCAGAGTTTAGCCAGTGGCATAAGGATGAGGAAGGAACTGGCAGGGAAACTACAGGTGGGGATCTAGCAGGAACCACAGAGGGGTGAGGCAGGGGAGGACAGGACAGAGGCTGTGCCCAGCTCTGAGGACAGATAGCGCCAGCGCCAAGGGAGGTGGCAGGCAGAGAGAGGTGAAGGGCTGGCAGAAGGGGTTGGGACTGGCACCAAAAGGTTGTAGGGTGACGAGGACCCCAGGGACCCCCTGCCCTGCCACAGTGCAGCAATGCTCCTCCTCGCCTCCCTTCTCCTTCTCGGGGCAGGGTCCAACAGGGGACAGGCTTGTTGTGCGGGGGAGGGCAGTGTGCTAATGAGGAGCTCTGGGGGGAAGCTCCCCGTCGGGCGGGGAGGAGATGTGCTCTCTGAAGGGAGGGAGCACCAGGCCCCAGGGGCTCTCACCTGCTCTGCTGTGGCCTGTGGCACCTGCACCGGAAGGGGGGAAAAGTCCCTTGTCTCCCAGGCCCCTGCATACAGGTTTCTGAGGTGGTTGCCCAGGTACCTGCGGGCGAGGTGGAGGGACAGTTGTTAGCTCCCAGCTCAGAGCTGCCCTTGGCAGACAGGGCTGTACTCACCAGTTGATGACTCCACCCAGCAGCCCTCTAGGGGTCTCTTTGAAGCTCAGCTCCTTCTCCACCAAGTAGTATGGGTACAGCACATCGATCGGGAACTCCACAAACACAGGGCCTGTAGCACAAAAAGAGATGGTCAGCCAGCCATGGCCCCACAGGACATGGGCAGCTCAGGCTCTGGGCTTGCCCAGTACCAATGCCCCACAGGGCATGGGCAACCCAGGCTCCTGCCCTGCCCAATGCCACTGCCCCACAGGGCATGGACAATCCAGGTACCATCCCTACCCTGCAGGGCATGGGCAACAGAGGCTCCCACCCTTTCCAATGCCAACGCCCCAAATTATCACCCCACAGGACATAGGCAAACCAGGATCCAGCCCCGCCCAACACTGACATCCCAAATTGTCACCACATAGGGCATGGGCAACCCTGTCCCTGCCCAATGCTGAAGCCTCACAGAACTTGGGCCCTGCCCAATGCTGATGCCAATGCCCCACACCATCGCCCAGCAGGGTCAGGGCAGCCCAGACACAAGCTATTCCAATACAGAGGAAAGATACAAAGAGCCACAGGAGAGGGATCAGGGAAGAGCCCCGCGAATGATTAAAGGTTTGGAAAACATGCCTTATAGTGAGACAAAAGGAGCTGAATTTAATTAGCTTAACAAAAAGAAGATTAAAGGATGACTTGATTGCAGTTCTTAAGTACCTACTGAGGAACAAAAAAATAGATACTGGTCTCTTCAGTCTAGCAGAGAAAGATATAAAACGATCGAAAGGCTGGAAGTTGGAGCTAGACAAATTCAGACTAGAAATAAGGTGCAATTTTTTTAACAGTGAGAGTAATTATCCACTGGAACAATTTACCAAGGGTGGATTCTCCATCACTGTCAGTTTTACAATCAAGATGGGAAGTATTTCTGAAAGAAGTGCTCTAGTTCTAACACAACTACTGGACTGGGAGCAGGAATTGTTTCAGTGAAGTTCTCTGGCCTGTGCCATGCAGGGATCAGATGAGATGATTACAATGGTCCCTTCTGTGAATATATGCAGGGCAAGGTAACTCACAGTGTGGACAGGGAGATGTGCAGCCTGGAAAACCCCAGTCAGGAGGCAGAGAGAAGTGGGTCTCCGCCCAAGAGAGGTGATGGCTGGGAAGCCCAGAGTGGGCGCCCTTGCTGGACCACAGAGGGGGAAATATCGGTTCAGTTGCCCTGGCCTGTGATAAACCCCACTGCAGCCCAGGTGCTGGCTGGCCCCAGCAGCAGTCACACTGCCCCACCTCTCCTGGGTCTCACACCCGCAGTGGAACATGGATTGAGTTTCATGGGGAGGTATCGAGTTCAGGACTCTGAACTGGGATGGGGACCCTGGCAGGGGGCTAGGGCAGATGTTCCTGGGAGCCAGCAGTGCTATCAGAAAACGGGGCTGGGACCTGAGAAAACAGGGCTAGGAAAAGAGTGAGGGGGGATTTGATAGCAGCCTTCAACTACATGAAGGGGGGTTCCAAAGAGGATGGATCTAGACTGTTCTCAGTGGAGGCAGATGACAGAACAAGAAGCAGTGGTCTCAAGTTGCAATGAGAGAAGTCTAGGTTGGATATTAGGAACCACTATTTCATTAGGAGGGTGGTGAAGCACTGGAATGGGTTACTTAGGAAGGTGGTGGAATCTCCTTCCTTAGAGGTTTTTAAGGCCCGGCTTGACAAAGCCTTGGCTGGGATGATTTAGTTCAGGGGTCTCAAACATGTGGCCCGCCAGCTCCCCGCGCCCCCGCCGAGTTTACCTAGAGCGGCTCTGGCCCGGCGCGCACTGGGAAGCGGCCGGAACCTGGGGGAGGGAGGGAGGGCACAGGGTCCCTCTAGGTACCTCCCCCGAAGCTCCCACTGGCCACGGTTCCCCATTCCCGGCCAATGGAAGCTGCGGGGGGGGGGGGGGGGCGGTGCCTGGAAGCAAGGACAACACACAGACCCCTGTGGTTCCCCCCCTCAGGTTCCAGCCGCTTCCTGGAGTGGTGTGGGGACAGGACAGGCAGGCAGGGAGCCTGCCCTCTCCCCGGTGTGCGCCGGGCCGGAGCCCACCCCCTGAACCCCTCCTGCAGCCGAACCCCCTGCCCTGAGCCCCCTGCCGCATCCCTTCTGCACCCCAACCCCCTGCCCTGAGCCCCCGCCACACCCCTCCTGCACCCCAACTCCCTGCCCTGAGCCCCTTGCTGCACCCCACACCCCTCCAGCACCCCAACCCCCTGCCCTGAGCCCTGCCACACCCCTCCTGCACCCCCTGGGGGCAGGGAGGGGGCGGAGTTGGGGTGGGGATTTCAGGGAATGGGTTGGAATGGGGGCAGGGAAGGGGTGGGAAGAGGCAGGGCAGGGGCAGAGCCTCATGGAAGGGGTGGAGTAGGGGCGAGGCCACAGCGGCGGGGTGGGGTGTCAGCGATGCAGCCCTTGGGCCAATGTGCTAGTCCTCACGTGGCCCTCGTAGTCATTTGAGTTTGAGACTGATTTAGTTTGTGTTGGTCCTGCTTTGGGCAAGGGGCTGGACTAGATGACCTCCCGAGGTCTCTTCCAACCCTGATATTCTATGACCTACATTCAAGAGAGTTTGATCTGACTGCAGGAGTGAGAGTTGTGGGACGGGTCTAGTGAGACCTGGGTAGGAAAACCTCCCAGCCCATTAATCCTTTGCTGCATAGGAGGACAAGCCCCAGGAGAAAGGCTTTTACCTGGGGTGCCGAACTGTGCTGCCGCGATGGCCCTTCGCAGTGTGGGGACGATGTCCCGCACAGTCCTCACTGACGCACAGAACTTGCAGAGTGGCTTGAAGAGGCACAGCTGCTCAATGTCCTGGAGAGCACCCCGGCCCTGCGCAGATAGACAGAACTGCAGTCCATGCTCCGATGGCCCTGTAAAACCCACTGCCTGAGGATGCCCCCAGCCAGGCTGCTTCCTCCCCAGTGACCAGGCACAGTGGGTGATAGGGCCGTGACCCTCTGAGTGTCTGTCTGGCAATGGGGCAGCAGAGATCATTGGGCTGGGAGGGATGAGACCTCACAACCAACAGGGACGTGGTATTGACCCTGGGTAGAGGTGAGGAATGCAAGTGGGGCTGGCTGCCCCTCTTCCCCAGCAGCAAGGTCTAAGTCAGACTACTCCTGCTCCACACACCGGTGCCAATTTGGCCCTTCTGCTTGGACAGCTCCAGCTGCTTGAGACTGGGGCAGGAATGGTTTTCCTGCTGTGGTGTGGCAGCACTGGGCACCCGCCTGCCACGACATGGCAGCAACCTCTGCTATCGGCAGCACCACAGACTCACCTTCTGCAGTGTGGCAGCTGCCCCGCCAATCAGCAGCACCGGGGATTCGGCCATCTGGGCATTCTTTACAGCCGTCACGGTGTTGGTTACCCCAGGTCCCGCTGTTACCGCGGCGACTCCGACTGTCCCTGCAATGCAGAGCAGCCAGCCCACAGAAGGGCAGATGTGAACAACTGCATCCTTACCACAGACAGGTGGGCAGGCCAGGCAGCGGGGGAACAGGGGACAGTTTAGGGCAGGTGGCTGGAAGCCAGATTGCATGCACCAGCAAGCCTATGCAATGTTCCCCAAGCCGGAACAAGAACTCAGGAAATGATCTGCCCATTGCTCGGCTGAGCTGGTCACTGCCCCCGTTGCGCATGGTCCTTCCTGTTGCTGGGGAGAGCTGGTCATTGCCCCAATGCCCATGGCCATGCCCCTGCCCATGACAGGGGTGACCTAGTCACTGCTCCGTTGCCATGGCCATGCCCCTCCCACTTCTTGGATGACCTGGTCACTGCCCCCTGCCACTCATGGCCATGCCCCACCCACTGCTGGGGTGACCTGGTCACTGCCCCATTGCCCATGG